CGGCCGGGGGCAGGTTTGTTTCCCCCGCTCCCCTTTGCTGCTCCGGCCAGGGGCAGGTTTGTTTTCCTTCTCCCCTTTCCCCCCCCGCTGCTCCGTCCATCCGGGCGTTTTTTACTTTGGGCGGCAAAAAAGCCAGAGCTGGCCCTGCCTGCACCTCAGGGTCACTAAATCTCCGCATCTAGACAGCCGGCCTGCCCGCTGCACCCCAATCCCCCGTGCCTGAGCCTCCCTGCCAAAATTCTGCACCTGGCTCCAGAGAATTAAGTCTCACATCTCGCTGGGAACTCAACTTCTTGCGCCCAGAGAGTCTCGACCCCCCTCAGTAGATGATCCAAGAAACACAAAAGTGGTTTGGGGAGCAAAGACTGAAGGGGAGTCAGGGGGTGAAGAATGACAATATGAGCCGTGCTCTGGGCTCGGCTTGACCCCTCCTGACACGGTGCTGGTGGAGAGCAGAGCCTGGTAGATCTGTGGAATCTGCCCATCTCTTTGTAAAGCCAGGGGACCTCGGTGTCTTCTGCGCTGGAATTGTATTTTCTGCAGGGCAAAATGATTGGCAGAAACCATTTGCTTAAAGAAAACTAGTGCTCCAGGTGAGGTCTGAACTCACAACCTCAGCATCACTCCACACAACACTGCTCTAGAAGAACTGTACACTGACCCATTGCACTCCTGGAGCCCACATTTAGGGGCTTCTCTCCTTGTTTCATGGCTGGATTAGGAGGCATGGGGGTGGGGTGCGTTAGCTAAAACAAATCCATACTAAAGGCTGCAGAATGGCAGCAACAGAGGTGGGGAGCCTCCTTCCATGTGATAGAGCTGGGTCCCCCCTTCCGCTGCTGAGGGGAAGGTTGGTGCTTTGAGCCCACCTGGTGCTGGAAGGTCTCATGGGTGAGATTAACGAGACTCTTGAGAAGAGAAGGGAAGTCTTTTCTATTCCTGCCGAGCTCCATTGGTTTCCTGTGGCCCTTTCGGGTGAGTCACCGAGAGGCTGTAGCCCATGGAGTGTGTGTGGGGGAGGGGGAGGGTTGGATTGGGCTCCAGGGGAAAAGGTTGTGTGTGATAGTGGGGGAGGGTGTGTTTCTTAGGATAGAAACGATGGAAAACCCAGGGGTAGTGACAGTAAAGCCCCTTGTCTGAGTGTTATGACCCTGTGTGGCACTGCCGGTCACCTTCCCCTCCTATGGTCTCATCTTTCATTGAATCCAGCATTTTTTCACCTATCATCACCACAGAGGTGTCCCACATGCCTCAGATACAGAGTGTCCCTCTTAGAGATGCCGAGGCCTGGAACTGATTTCCGCTACTGGACAGCTCTGCTCTGTTTTTATACATTTGCATAGAAAAATGCTGAGTGTTTAAATTCATTTCAAGCCCCCCTCCCCCCACATTCAGCAAACTCCTGAACACACTGGAGATGGGTCTGGAAATCGATTTTCATTCAAAAAAGGTTTTAAAGGGAATCACTTGGATTTGAACTAGGAACTCATTACCCTGCAGGGAAATAGTTACCCCCTGAGCTGTACTCTGAACAAAAAAAGCCCTGTATAGTCCGGAGCAGGAACAATTTTTAACCTGGAAG